AACCCAACCAACTACCTAGGGCCATGAGATGATGGTTCTTAGAGGAGACCCTACTATCACTGTTTTACTAGACCAGCATATTTCCTAATTAAATTCTACAGGCAACTAAAGAATATTAAATGCTAGAGAGGGGGAAACTTAGTCTTCCCCAGGGAAGAGTCCCTTAGCTGGTTATCCAAAAACAAGTGGTAAGATCTGAAATCATATACATACAAGCAACACTAAACAGTAAGCAGTTTTTATGTGCGTGCATGTAAAACAACAAAGAAAAATAGACCATGATTTGGGAACATGACAGGGGTTGGAAGAAAAAAAGGGAAAGGAGAAAATGATGCAATTATATTTTAATTAAAATTTTAAAAATTTAAAAATTAAGAAAAGAAAGCAATGAAGAATACTAGTCTTACCAAGTATTAAAACACACCACAAAGCTTTACAATTAAATCCATAAGTAATACACACATAGCACACACAGTATCAATGAGATGAAAGAAAAAACTTAAAAATATACCTAAATACAGACTGAATGTACTATAGGAAGGTAGTATTTCAAATCAGGATATAAAATAGGATTATTCAGTAATGGTACTGTTGTGCTTGGAAACTACCTGCACTGTGGACGCTGAATGGAGAAAGGTGAAGTTGGAACAATTCCTCACAGTGCTTCATAAATATTGCAATAAATGAGCAAAGGCCTCAATGTACAAAATGAAATAATGCAGTGACGAGAGACGGTGTGGTGACTTCTTACCAAGTTAAATACAGCCTATGTTTAGGAACACATTCAAGTTCCTAGGCATTTACTCAATTTATTAATAAACTTGCAAAAATTTACATTTTTATTTCTCACAAAATATCAGCTAAAATGGCTATTATTTTACCTTTTAATTCTGTTTCAAAAATGTTAAGATTGACTTAACAGATAAGTATATCCTTAGCCAACTAAAGAATGGCATCATGTTTTCCAGTTTCTTTATAACTAAAGGGAAATAATAAACAAAGAAAACAGCACCAATTAATCCAGAATCAATTATACAACTTCAACTAATGTTTATAATCAATACTGTGTTCTCCAATTTACTTGACACAAGCTAGAGTTACTGGAGAAGAAGGAACCTCAGTGCAGTGTCACCACCAGACTGGTCTCTGAGAAAGCCTGTGGTGCATTTTCTTCTTTATATCGCTCCAATTTTAGTATACGTGCTGCCAACACGAGCACACATTTTCTTTATTGATGATTAATATGGGAAGGCCCAGATTACTGTCAGTGGGGTCACCTCTGGGCACGTGGTCCTGCATACTGAAAGAAAGCAAGCCAGTAAGCAGCACTCCTCCATGACATCTGCCTCACTTCTTGCCTTCAGGTTCCATCCCTGTTTGAATTCCTGCCCTGACTTCCTTCAGTGGCAGACTGTGATGTGGAAGTGAGAGCAAAATAAACCCATTCCCCCCAGAGCTACTTTTGGTCACTGTGTTTTATCAGAACAGAAGCCCCAATTAAGACAAATTCCTACCTCCACATCTATTACATGAACAATTAATAAAACTAACACACAAAAGGAACTACTTAAGACATTTTAAAGAAAACTGATGTCATTCTGTAATTTCGTTTGACTTCTAAACAAACAAAGGCTGTTTAGTTCATCATATGACCTAGCTGGCATTCTTCACCACTGACTCACAGACTGGGACTGCACACTAAAAAACATGTGAGTATCTTGGGAAATTTGAAGTATCTTTCAAAACATCAGATTTTATGTTTAATACAATCAAATAGTTTGGTCTCTATAAAAGCCATATAACCTATCTAAGAAAGTAGGGAGAACATGAGTAGTTTTTCAAGGCTGATACAATTACTAAAGATTATTCATCAGTGATTGAACTTTGTTAAATACTGTTTATAACCAAAATTGATGTTAAATTAGAAAATGTTTTTATTTAATCCAATACTAATAAACATTAGAAAAACACGTTTCTAAGAGTGACTGGCTATATTAAGGTATTGTGTACTAATTACAAAGCAGCATTTACAAAACAGTGTATACAATGTGCTTATTATATATGATCAGAGATATTTGTGTAAAGATACAATGAAAAATATAGATTAAAATCTTTTTACCTACAGAAGGTGAGTATAAGAAATGGGGGTGGGAGTAAGATTGATCACTGTCCGCTTGCGGACAGGTATGCTGATGTGTGCTTACAGCCCAGGACTTGAGATGGAGGAGAAGGCACGAAGATGAAGAGCACAAGCCATACTGTATTTGAACTCACTGCTCTCTTGAAAAAACTTAATGGGAGAGGGCTAGCTCAGCAGCTACGAGCACCTGCTATGAGAGATACTGTGGTAATAGAACACGACACAGTGATAGAGCAGGACACCCGACATCTTTCTCTGGTGCTGCATGTGAGCCTCACACAAGCATAAGCAACACACAAGTCAAACTCTCATTTTAAAAAGAAGCTTAACATTTATCTATTACAGACTTGATCTGGGAACCTATAATGTTCCTATAATGCTAATCCTTTGGTCTTGTAGACAAATGGCATCTCTGGCTCACAGTATTTCTAGAGGCACACAAAAATGTTAAAAACCTTAAGGATTTTAAAAAAAAAAAGAATCTTTATATTAAAATGGCTAAACATATATGGAAATTTCTTCATAACAATTCAGTGATAAAATTCTGCATTTATATATTTTTAATAACAAAAGTATCCCATAAAAGCAAACCTGCCTTAGGGCCAGGGAAGTCTGAATGGTACTCTATGCTTTTCATTTTCTGTAATGAAAATATTGAGATGCTACAATAAAGCAGAAACACATGTATATACATAAACAAAAACCATATATACATACATTCATTCACTCATTCACTTATCATTGTATAAGCCAAGCAGACCCAGAATTCTTTATGTAGCACAATCTATCTATGATAAATGCCCATCAATCTTCCTGCCTCTGCCTACTGAGTACTGGGATTACAGGGATGGGCCATCAACTCTGGTTCCCAAAAACGTCTTACTTGAGCCAGGGAAGATATCACACATGACTTAAACCTCAATAATACCAAAACAGTTTTCTCCATTACTATTTAGATTTCCAAACCATTAGCAAAGGCTCTAACAAGATGCCTCATGAGTGTAAGCAAATAAATGCTTAGAAAATGATGGTTTACAGTGGTTCTCCACCTGTGAGTCATGATCCCTTTGGGGGTCATATATCAGATATTCTGAATATCAGATATTTACATTATAATTCTTAATGGCAGTTGTGAAGTAGCAACAAAAATAATTTGATGGTCGGGGTTACCACAACATGAAGAACTATATTAAAGGGGTGCAGCATTAGGAAGGTTGAAAACCATTGGCTTAGAAGAACTAGAGACCTGCAATTCTTTGGGGAGCGGAGAAGGAGAAAAAAAAAGAAGGGAACGAAGGGAAGAGAGGAGGAGAAAAACCACAAATGAACAAGAGCAGATGAATAAGAAAACCATTCCTGATTAAGATGAAATTATCTCCTAAATAAATTCCTAGATTTAGTATAACGAATTCAAATTCCCAAACAATAACTCAAATGTTAAGGATACACTGGGGGGAAAACATGTGGATTGATTTTTTTTTTTTTAAATAGCATGTACCTAAACGTACTGGTGCTGAGTAAGACAAAATGCAGACAAAAACATTCTTATGGCTAAAAAAATTAGTAAATTTCAGATATATAAGAAAAAAGGTATAATGACTACAGCTGGTACAATGTTAACATAATAAAAAAAATTGACATAATTTCTTTATCATTAGACACCATACAAAACTTCATGTTGATTTTCAACCAGAAAAATAGGAAACATTTCTAGTAAAGAAAGAGAATGTGTGTTTGTGATTTTAGACCCTTGGCCAAATTATTTTTAAAAAGTACTTACAGAAAAAAGAACACTAAAGTAAAGAAAAAAATGAAAAATAGTGAGAAGCAAGAACAGACTTCATAACTGCTGACAGTAGACAAAGCTGTACTTTTAAAATACACCAGACCAATCTTGTTTGGTACCCAGTCCTAAGGGGACAAACACCAGATAGGACTTTAATCAAGGGTGTACACTTAACCAAGTGCCAAGCACTTTGATAGAGCATCAACAGAACCAGAATCTGAACCCAGAGTCCTTTCAGAGTCCATGCTTTCAACCACTGAGTTACCTGTTTCTTTCCTCTATACAGAAAAAAAAGCAAACAATTAGATCTACAAATGCACTAAACAAATTTACTACATAAATTACTAAAATACACAAATAAGATTTGTTTTTGTCGCTTTGTTTTGTTCTTTGCTGGGGGCTGAATGCAGGGATTAAGAGTGTGCACCACAACCGCCCAGCAGAAAACAGTCTTAATACAATAAATATAAAGATGAAAGAGGTAGAGGCTAGGAAGATGGCTCAATGGGTAAAAGTGTTATCATGCAAACCTAAGGAACTAAGTTCAGTCCCAGAAACCCATGTAAAGGTGGATGGAGAGAACTCATTCCTCAAAGTTGTCTAGTTGTGACATACATGTTGCTTTTCTCATGGCCAAGACCATATCCAGACCAGAAGCAATTTAAGGGCTTATTTTGGCTACAGTTTGAGAAGGCTACTGTTCACTTTGGTGTGGAAGACAAAATGAAAGGAACATGAGGCAGCTGACCACATCTGACTTCAGGAAGCAGAGAGGGCACAGGATGTAGGGCCATGATAGTCCCTGAAGGCACATTCCCAGTGACTCATTCCTTCAACAGGGTTCCACAGCCAAAGGTTCTACAAGAGTCCCAAACAGCACCACCTGCTGGAGACCAAATTTCAAACATAGGAGACTAAGGGGTAATTTCGCATTCTAACCACAATAAGGTAAACTAATAGAACAAGTCTTCAAATATTTTTAAACTAATTCAGAATTGTGATATGCTTTGCTCTTCTAATTTGTCTTAATTATTAGAAGGATGAACAAAAACTCTTGACTATTTGAACACTCACCCAGTGCGAGATTGGCCAACCTTATCACAAATATCCAAGATGAGGCCCCAGTCCTCAGCAGTATTCATCTCACTAGTTGCTTTCTCTGTAGATTATAAAAGAATTACAGAAACATTAAAGTAAAATTGTTATAACATATTATCACATTCAAATCACAAAACTTAATCAAGTCTCAACACCAAACCCAAACAGTTGCCAGCACTATGATTAATCAGACTCTGATGTCCGGCTTTCAAAGGCGCAAGTTCAATCTATCACAATCTTCCCTATTCACACTTCATTTGCTTTTGGCATCATATGGAAGCCATTGATTTTTCTCCATTCCAGTCTATCCCTACCTGCAAACAGACAAAGTAAAGAAAGACATTTTCAGAAAAGTTTTAGCTTTACTTGACAATGAAAGGGACAGGGACTAAGCACTCATCTCTATGAAAATATTTCATGTAATTAAGTTATTTAGCTACATTTGTTGATTTGGCTTTGTCAGCATGGAGAGGAAAGAAGGTCCCCCCCCCAAAAAAAATCAAGTTTTTACTATTTTTTCCTATAAGATAGCTCAGTGAATAAAGCACTTGCCACACTTGAGTTTGACGTCTGGATTCTACACTGGAAAGAGAGAACTGACTCTTGAAATTTGCCCTGTGCACACATGTACATGCATACACACAAGCAGTAAAAATAAATTTAAAAGTTGGTATATTAAAGACATTAATAGAGGCAGGTAGATTAATTTTTAAAAACAAGGGCAATATAAACACAGCAAGCTTTTGGCAGCAAACATTCTAGCAATATAGATATACAGGGTAACTATGGAGAAGACATAAAAAGGAGAATCAAAATAGGAATAATAAAGCCTTAAGAACAAGGCTGGGTTTTACTACTGCATTACAAGGAAGTTCAAAACCTGGCAACATCAAGAAACTCTAGAAATTAAAGTGAGCAAAGAAGATTTAAAAGGAATGAATGCCAGCTATAGGGACACACACCTTTAATCCCAACACTTAGCAGGCAGATGTAGGTAATTTCTACATTCAAAATCAGCCTGGTCTACACAGGAGGTACCAGGCCAGTCAGATAGGTAAGACCCTGTCTCAAGAGAAAAAAAATAGAACTGGGATAGGTATGCAAAATGAGAAAAGATCATTTAAAAAGAGGAATGAATAGCAGCCTTTTGAAATGGAGGCTGGTCACTAACTGCCTTCCTTATTCAAGGGTCCTAGCAACTATATCTCCTCAATGGAACAAAGAATGAATGTTTGCTTTCTGGAGATCAAACAAGGCTTTTCTGGACTAGCAGACATGAGAATAGTAAAGATGGCGTAAAAATAAAGTATTAATTCTTGGTTCAGCATGTAAGGAGAAACGACATCATCCCTCCAACCCAACAAACAAAAAGCTGAATACATTGAAAACCTAACTCTTTTTAGATCCTTCAGCGAAGGGAATCTACCACCAAATGCTGACCCAAAAACTACACAGAGAAGCAAAAGGAAAGAATTCCAACCTAGCACAGTCATCTCCATAGGAACCAATGACAAGCTGGAGGACCCAAACCTAAGAGACAGACTGGAAGAGTTCAGTGAGGACAAGTCCCCAAGTTTTAAACTCCAGGGGTGAAATCACAAGGATCCACACACAAAATAAGTTTTTACTGCAAGAATTACACTAGGTGCAAAGTGAATGTACAAAAGAAATGCTAGGAGGAAAAATGAAACAATTTTCAAAGACCCTAGAGAACTCAGTTCTTATTACAGACTCTTCTTTGAATAATTAAGGTCTACATTTTATCAACTAACCAAATTAGTTTAACCAGAGATAAACTCACTTGAGGTAGGAAACATCCCAACTCTACCTTCCTCAAGCTTTTCTCCTGAAGGAAGAGGAGCACCCAACTACAGTCCACCCTAGTCACACTGCCTTACATGATAGAAAAACACTAGGAAGCATTGTGAAGTTCATGGTCCAGAGGCACAGGCTCATCAATGTAATCACCATGTTGCCACGCCTCTCTGATACATTGCTCAGGCCTATGGAATGGTCACTAAAGATCTAGCATGGGTTCCTATTCTCCAGTAAACCATGTTGGAATTTTAGCAAGTTTACAAATCAAACTAAAAGACAAAAGCAATCTGAAAAACAAAGCAAGCTTCTGACTGATAGATGACAGAATACTGGAGTTAAGAATTTTGAAACTATGATTAATATGCAAGAACTGTCTACAAGAACAACAGAAAAATTCTAAGGAAGAATAAAAATGGATATTAAACATCAAAATCATAGACAAGAGGTTAATGAAATTTCTCAGTCTGTAAAGCTGTTTGACATGCATTCATGAGAACTTGAGTTTGATCCCCAGTATATACACTTTAATAATAATAATAATAATAATAATAATAATAATAATAATAATAATAATAATAATAGCATCTAGGCACTGGTAGCGTACACCTTTAATCCCAGCACTCAGAAGACAAAGGCAGGTGGATTTCTGTAAGTTTAAGGCCAGCCTTGTCTACAGAGCTAGTTCCAGGACAGCCAGGGCTGTTAAACAGAGAAACACTGCCTAGAAAAACTAAAATAATAATAATTGTAATAATCATAATCATATTATCAGAAGAAGAGAAAGAAGCAAGAGCAACGAAAGCAGAAGTAGCTAGGCATGGTGGTACATAATTATAGTTCCAATACTGAGGAGACGGAGGTAAATGGGTCTCTAGGGCCCACTGGCCATTCATCCTAACATCAATGACCTACTTTTTGCAATAATAGAAAACACACTTTTCTCTAGCCCATGTGCAAATTCACCAATAAAGACTGCATCCAAACCATAATATACATTAAGACAAGTACTATAAATACAAACTATATAGTGTTTGCTTTCAGGCCACTAAAGAATTAATGTAGTAAGCAATAACTAAAAAAATCCTTAAATACATGGAGACAATACACTTATTTTATTAATCTGTTTATGTGTTTATGTGCACACATACGTGTATGAGAAATCAGAGGACAATCTGCAGAGTCAGTTCTATATGCATGTAGATACTTGAGATCAAACTCAAGTCATGCAAACACCATTACCACTAAGTCTATCTCATCTCACTGGCCCTAGTTTTTTTTTTTTTCCTTTTATTATGTCTTGTTGCTGTTGTTGTTTGTTCTTGTTTTAGGGTTTTTATTTTCAGATAGGATCTCATGTAGCCCAAGCTGCCTTGGGCTCACAATGTAGTGAGAATGACCCTGAACTTCTGATCTGCTTTTCTCTACTTCTCAGTACTGGGGTTACCAGTGCATCACCACACCTAGTTCATGAGGTTCTAGGAATGAAAATCCAGGGCTTTATATATGCGAGACTAGCACTTTACCAACTTAGCTACCTCTTAGCCCGATATACTTCTAAACAACATGAATAAAATAGTTTAAAGACTCTGTAATGGTGTGAATAAGAATGCACCCATAAGCTCATACATTTAAATGCTTAGTCATCTGGGAGTGACACTATTTGAAAGGATTAGAAGGATTAGGGGGTGTAGCCTTGGAGGAGAAAGTATGTCACTGGGGGTGGACTTTGAGGATTCAAAAGCCTAGTATCCCTGCTTGTGGATCAGGACTCAGCTCTCAGCTACTTCTCCAGCACCATGCCTGCTTGCTGCCATAATGGAAATGAACTAACCCTCTGAAGTTGTAAGCAAGCCCCCAATTAAATGTTTTCTTTTATAAGAATTGCCTTGGTACTGTGTCTCACAGCAATAGAATAATGACTAAGATAGCCTCCGAACAAATGAAATATAAAGCAAGCTGACAAAACTGAAAACAGAAAAGCAAGTTTTACAAAAATCAGTACAACTACTGAAGAGCAGCAAAATCAATATGCATCTAGGGAAGTTAACTGGAAAAAAATACAAGGTACTAGTACTAATAATCAGAGAGAGAATTTCATGAATATTACAAAATAAATATTAAAAACCCTATGCCCACTAATTTGATCACTTGGATGAAGCAAGCCAACTTGTTTCAAGGTATATGCCTAGGTAAGAAAACAGATAATCCAAACAGGCTATCTATTAAGGAAATCAAATTAAGAAAGTTAATAATCTTTCAAACCACAAAGTATCAGGACCAATTGAATTTATAAGCGAATTCTGCAAAACATTTAAAGAAAAATATTAAAGCAATTCTCCACAATCATTTGCAAAAGACAAAAGCAGGGAAAATGCCTCCTAACTTATCAACATTTCCAATGTTACTATTAATACTCAAGTCAGGCAACACTGTTAACTTGAAAACTATGAATAAATCCTTTCCATAATTATAAATGCAAAAAATCCCAGCAAAATGTGAAGAAACTGAATTCAACAATGTTTAGAAAATTTATATGCTTTGACCAAGAGAGATCTGTACTAATTGTGCAAGGCTGACTAAACATCAAGACTAACACCTTCTGAGACAGGCTTACAAGACTTCTTTGTGTGCTCTGCTCAATTATGAAAGACGGACACTAAAAACAAAACACAGAGGGTCGAGGAAAGTCTCTAGTAACAAACCACCAGAAAACCCTTGATGAAGGTCAAGATCAAAGTATGTTATCGGTACTTCCAATGTGTGTTCAATTTTTTTTTTCTCCAAGTATTAATCAGGGGCACTCGGCCAAGGATTAACAGCTGAAATAATCTTCTAACATGAAAGATTAAGGAAAACACAAACGACTGGGAAAAAGAAAACAGAACAAAGCAATTTAGGTTAAACAGAAGCTATGTACAATGGTCAAGGCTGCACAGAAGCACAAAGTAGTTAGGCTTGTCTAGGAAACAGTGATAAAATAATGTAATATCATTATGACCTTCAATACAAGTTTAATTTTTTTAGCCTGAGACTAATCAACCCATACCAATATTCTTATTTGTAGTAGCTTATCACAATCATGTTAACAATGAAACCCCTGTTTCCTTCTCCTCAGTGCCCTGCTAATTCAAGAAAATTCTCTATTTGACATACTACTGAGAGCCAAGGTGTTGGAAAGTTTAATAGCATAAAATACTTTGCAGGCTTACAAAATGATTGATATCATAGCTGTCAGGAACATAG